AATCAAGTTTGTTCAAAAGTACTTTATGGCTATTTTAATGAAGAATAATTACGGTTTTTTGAAAATAAAATTATTAATCCTTTATTATAATTCCATTATGAATAAATTAAACTTTGGTTTTTTTTACCGAAAAATGATGAGATGCATTTTTTGAATTGAAAATTGAACCAACGAAGTCCGCTTCTTCTGTCAGCATTTCTGTCAAACTTTCCCGTTTTTGGAGGTGCAACATGAAGTCAGCAGGCTCTGATCAGGGAAATCAAGTGTGTCAGGTGCGCCAGTTTGAATTTATATAACTCATTCATGTAACGCGCCGTCGCTCTCCCCCATATAGCTGTCCCAATCAATAACTTAAATTATTAACGGCCGCGTCAAAATTTATAATTAATTCGGCAATAAAATTAATTAGCCTGATTATACAGCTGCACACTGGCGAACTGTGCAATTTCCAGCAGCCATATTCCCAATTCGCCAGCGGCAGCACCGCGAGTATAATTTTGTAGCTTCTGGCCTCGCGCGCGCGGCACAGCAGCGGCTCTATAGTCGCGGCGGCGCGGCTAATTTCCATTTATTAATAAGTCTGCAATAGCCGTTGTTTTTCATTAATATGTATTTTCCGAGAGGCAGAAGGTGGACGTGCCTGCAGAACGAAATAGCAGACACGCAGTCCAGCCAGACTACTGCAGTACTCGTTAGCTTTTAATGTCAAATTTAGCCAAAAGCTGAAATTTATTGACTAGAATTCAGCATAAAATCTATCATTATTAAATAAAAATTTCACGATTTAGGATCAAATTTGTCCTAGATTTAATTGCAGTAGCAGAAATAGAGCAAAATGTGTTATAAAAAATTCATGCTTTTAATTTCTTCAAGATTCCTTTAAAATTAATTAAAACGTTAAATTCTACACATTTTTTCTACCTTAAGTAAAGAAGTTCTATAAAAACAAGGAAATTAAAACTTATATAGATACCGTTTTTTATAAATCTGCGGCTCATACTTGCGCCAATTGACGTGGAGATGCTTTGGTGCTATTATTAGTTTTGAGGTGCACATCGAACAATACAACTTTGTTATCTGCTTGCTTTTATCGTGAAAAGGTGGATTTTTAATTGTAACACCTGCAGCAGAAACGAGGCGGCAGTCAAAGCAGAATCGCCTGCTGCTGCTTGATGACGGCGAGTGACACACCGCGCGGCAAAGGAAAAGGAAGTGTTTTTGTTTCGCGCAGCTTTCCTCTCACAACCAGCCAGCAGGATGAATTTTATTTTTATTGAATATTACGAAAAGTGTCTGCTTTTTATCTCACGCACGTTTGTTTTTCCTGTTTCTCTAGTCCGCGGTTTGACTTTTGGTAGAAACTATTTTCTGGGCTTCCTGCAGCAAACGAAAAATGATTATAAAACCGTTAGTGAAAACATTTGCTGTGTGTTATTCTTAATTCTTTCCTTTTTTAAATTTCCTTAACATTTTATGGAAACTTAACTATACAAGATGGGAAGAAAGAAATTACAGAGAGAATAATATATAATTGTATTTAAAAATCAAATTTGGGTTTAAACATAATAACTAATTTAATTTTCCAGCAGAAAAAACGGAAAAAACCTCCAAATTAAATATACTGAACAAAAGTATAAGTTTTCCATTACAAAAATAATCAAAAGCGACTGCTTGCATAACGTTATATTGACACACAGTGGGACAAGGGTACACAAAATGTATGTGTTTGATTTTTGTTAGCGCATAAACAAACAGGAAAGCTGCTCGTTCAACACGATCAATTTCGATATCGAATCAAATAATAACATGGCAGGTTTTCAAACACGCAAAATATGATCAGGCTGTAATGCAAAAATTAAAATTGTTAATTTTGTCTGGTGTACATTTCAGCCAAACAAATTTTAAATATATATTTGCGACATTGCAGAGAAATATTATTTCAGGTGCTCATCGCGATCAAAAATTTGATTGGGTTTATGCTGAAATTATAAAATGCGCAACGGTGCTTACGAAAGTATGTAGGCACATTTTTGGGGGAAAACCAAGGCGCTCTCTAACGTGCGTTCGTATCATTGAACCAAGAAAAAGGTGAAAGGTGACATTTTATAGGACTTCTTTGGACACACCAACAATGAAAAGGGCAAGCCTGCATGCGCTAAAAAAACATATATTTTCCTGCTCCGTCCACTCTCAAAGTACATGCAAAAAGCTCGAGTGTAAAAGCGGACTTGAAGAGTCGCCCTGTGTGACCTCTCTCTCTCCAAGAGAGCCTATTCAAATGATCGGCGGCCTATTCAACTGCTATGGTGCTGAACGGCCACAGGCCACGGCTGCAAAAATGTTTTCCCCACGACATTTCACTCTCTTCTGCATGCATATTATACAAAAATAGTAAAATCAGGCAGGGGTTTCCTGTGAAACTTGAAAACAAAACATCCTGACAGATGACTCGGTTCGTGGAACTTCCCTCCAGCACCTGAAAGGAAAAGACCAACTTTTACAGGCGTGTCGTAAAAGAATCAGAAACGCTGCAGTTGTAGCGGGGACAGTGAAAAAAGAATATTCTTTTGTCCGGCAAGTCGAGTGGAAGAAATCCACCTCGGAAAATCGAGCGTCATTTGCATGGGTTGCTTCTGGGAAAGGTCCGGCGTAGGCAAAGATTTGGGGCAGAACGGTCGGTAAAAAATCGTTCCACTTGAGAATTTTTTTATAAAAAAAGAACAGAAAAGCTTCAGTTTAACTGGAAACGTAAACAATTTTGAAGGAAAGTGCGTGGACGTGTTTTGTATTGAAGCTAATGCAGGAAACAAAAAGAAAAGGGGGAGAGCTCAGGTTGCTTTCAAAAGACAACAACTGATTGCTAATTGTATTTTTTATTTTTAAGCGTGCAAAAATCTACAAACGCGCCTTGTTTAAATCCAATTGTAGAAATATGATTAGAAATCTATAATTACTATCTCTTTTTATTATAAAAACTGCTTTATAAAAAAAATAACCTAGATTAAATTCTATGCTAAATTCACTAAATCATTAATAAATGATGAATCAAATTAATTATCAAGTCTAGAAGAATGAATAAAATTTGTTCATTTTCCACTGCCCGCAGTTGGACAATTTTATTTGCATCTGAGAAAATCGCACTGAATCAATCTGCGTGCTGCGATAATAAACGTGGTGCTCACGCCTGCCGCTTTTTTAATTTCCTCGCAACGCATTTTTATGCTCCACACGCGGCGGCAGAAATGGTTCCTGCATCGTCAAAAGTTGAAACTGAAAAATAAAGCGCGCGAATACAGCCATCACATAAACTTTTTATTCCTCCAGTGTTCGTCGGGGTGTGTAAATATTATCATATTTTATTGCTGCTTATCACATCGCCCGAACAATTTTATGCTCTCGACGGAGCGCAATTTCTTTTCATCATTTATTATATATTTTTTTTAACGCGGCGAACAAAGTTAACTTCTGTTTTAGCTAAGTGAAACAATTTTATTGCCCGGCAGCGTATGGACCGAGCGACCGACCGTCGGACCAAACTAAAAATGGGGGAGGATTTGAGGCAGCGTGTTTTCTCTCTGCGTGCGTGCAGCATAAATTTTATTTTCCGAGATGGAGCGAGCGAGAAGCAACGGCGAGTCCAAGCGCCGAGAACCAGTTTTTCTTTGAAAAAAAGGAGAATTTATGTATAAAAAATCTGGTCGCTGCGGCGGCGGCTGAACGGCGGATCGCGAGAGTCAGTCAGTCGCCCGCCAGCAGAAAAATGCTCGTAGGCTTTTTCTTTCTTTCTCTCTCTCTCTCCAGCAGCCGACGCCGCTTCTTTTCATCCTGGACATCTCCGTTGCGAAAAATACATTGCAGTGGGAATGGAAAGAGGAGGGGCCGAGCGACCAGCTACACTCGAGAAAGGGTTACGCGAAACAAATCTTGGCCGGAGTCTCCGCGCCTCGCACATATGCAAAGCAATCCCAATCTCCAAGGTTGAAAGAACACGCACGGAGCTCTCGTTGGTGCACGGAGATGGACGTACTCGCTCTCCATGTACATGGCACTGCAAAAAAATGAAACCTTTTTCGCCTCTGCACATTTGCGATTCATGATGTAAATTTGTTTTTTTTTCAGCTTTTATTTGCAGCTTTTATTATTCAATTTCCTAAAATGGATTCAATCATTTGCATCTAAATTCTTTAAATAAAAATAAATATATTTTTAATTAATTTACATTAAAGCAATTTTTATTTTGATAAAATTTTACGCTTTTTGCTGACGATAATTTCAATTTACTTACCAATTCATAGAGAGAGCCCAAATATTTTCTATGCAGCTTCAGAATTCCCCGCTATTCCCTTTAAAAAAAAAATCACTGGCAAGTTCTTGAGAAAACGCTCTTTGTGGGATTTTGCCAGTCTTAGCTGAAAGCCCATAAATTCTGATATTTCTCCAAAAAAGAGAGACAATTTTCTGGCCCCCTGGACCACATTTCCTGGTACTGCCTTTTATGCAGCAGCCAACCCAGCATGCATCTCGAGCACAATGCGACCCTAAAAACTACCCTACGCAGGGCAGCAGCGAGCAAAAGAGAGGCTGGGAGAGGTAGGCCTACAGCACACCTTTTTGTATTCTTATTTTTCTCTTCAGAAGGAAGGCTGCTTTTCAGTGCACACAAGTGAAGAAGAAAGAATTCTCTTGTGTGCTCTCGCTGTATTTTTATTTTTTGTTGTGTCTACATGGTTGCCAGCTTCAAGCTCGGAATAATAATTATACAATGGGGTAGAGGCGCTGACTCGCTTGCCGACTCCAATGGCAACGTGAAAAACGTTTGCTCCACGTCTTGTGGAATTATGTGCCTCAAAGATTTTATCTTTCAAAATTTTAAAATGCTTTTTTTGTTTCAAATTATTCTTTTGTTTTTATAAATTTTGTTTGATTTTAAGCAAATTTATTTTGAACTTTTCTTATTTATATTTGGGGAATTTTTCATATATTCAAATTAAAAACTGATGTATTGAGATATAATAGTTTTTTTATGTAATCTTTTTTCTCTTCAGTTATTTACATACCGTGTTTAATTACATTCATGCTCATTTGTAACACAACGCTTCGGAGACGAAAACCGGGCATATTTTTTAACACATGCAATGACAGCAATCGAGTAGCTCTTGAAAAACAACAATCAAAAAGTGCCTTCGAGTATAATTATAACAGTAGCAATGAAATGTTGAGTAACAAAATTCGTCGTCATCTGGAATTATGAAAAAATAATGATAAGAATAATGTCGCACTCTTGCTCGCAAAATAAGCACCATGGATCATGTTCGCTCGACACTATATTAACAACAACAAAAACACTTCTCTTTCATCAAAATTTACACACACATGTAATAATCACAATTCGTATTAACCATCAGTATTTTGGGTTCCAACTTTTGCTTTTCGTAAATGCACATGAAATAAACAGATTCTTAGCTAATTTTAGTATAGGCCCTTGAATACCTTTTACAAAAATTACGTATGCACTTTTATTGTTTCGGGTGGTAACAGCTTCTTTAATTCTGCTTTTTTTCCTTCAAAAAAATATGTGATGATTAGCCAAAAGATAAATTTACAAAAAAAAAACGTAATTAATAATAATAATTAAAAAGATATGAACACAAAACGACCTCTAGTCGTGATGGCACAAGATATTTGACAAATAAAATAAAAATCTTTTTACAACGAAAAATAATGAAATGCTGCAGTGGTTAAAATTGTGTATTGGAGATCATTAGAATTAAATTATTAATCAAGGAGAGTTATTTCCCGTAACTCATTTCCATTCGAATAACTCAATTACGGTGGCCAATAAAATGGCTACAGAAATTTAGCCTTGTTAAAGAGTAACCATGGTGAATCTTTTTAGATGAAATTCAGTCAAATCCAGCAGTGAGTTGTTGACAATCGATCGCGTGTTAATAAAAACTTTGTATTCGTTATCACAGGCAATGGTTCCCTTAATTTTACAGAGCAAGCACCACCATGGTTACTATGCGCTCGAATAATTTATCTCCTTGAGAAAAATAGGCGGATCATTTTTTAAGAAAAGCAGGGCGATGGAAAAATCACAACATGATATGAGCGATTCCACAAACTACATTTTAACAATTTCAAAATTTGCATAATTGTTTTCCTCGCAGAATGCCAAAAAATTTGCCGCGACCAAAGCTTGAGGACAAAAATGATCGGAATTAATGAAAAGTGAGTCTGGCAGTCAATTTAATCTTTTTTTTTTCAACTAAAGGAACTGATGCAACCGTTAGCGGAGAACGTTTGTCAATTAGTCTCATCTAACGTGGAACAGACCCAAATTGAGCACTTTGAGCCTGGGGAGGCTGAGCAGCCTGTCGAGGGCAGCGTGTGACACTCGTGTGCACCCGTACAGATCGATGGCCTTCAACTTCTGCAAACTGTCCGCCAGCTTGTTGACGCCCACGTCAGTTACCCTGCTGCACTGTCCAATGTGTAGCACTTCCAGTTCACTCAGGGTCCCTGCCATTTGGCAAAGGCCGTCGTCCGAAATGCGGCACGCACTCAGGCACAGGGTTCTCAACAGGGTCAAACCCTGTGAAAGGTGGTTCAGCGCCGGATCACCGATTTTGTCGCAGAAGGACACATCCAGGGAGGTCAGGGCCGAGCCACCTTCAGCCAGATACGCGATACCAGTGTCAGTCACGTTGTCACACGCCCTCAGGTTCAGTTCCCTCAGGGAGGGCATCTTCGCCAGGTATTTGAGGCCACTGTCAGTTATGGAAACGCAGAAACTCAGGTTGATCGACTTCAGGCTGGTCAGCCCTGTTGAGATGTACCTGAGCGACTCGTCAGTTAACCTTTGGCAGTCCTGCAGCCCCAGGTACTCGAGCTCAACGGGTCCCAGAACGCCGTGCTCAGGTGGCGGAAGGGCGAAACTGTAGGTGACGGCGGCGGCCATCGAGGACATGATGACCGAGTCTTCGTCGTCATCAGAGTCCTCAGCCAGACCCTTGCCACACAGGTGACCGATGCCGTGATCTGAAATGTGCCAGCAGGATCTCAGGTTGAGCCTCTTCAGTCTCGGCAGGCCCCAGGCGATGAGCAACAGTCCTGTGTTGGTGATGTGAGAACAACCACCCAACTCCAAAACTTCCAGGTTGCGCATATTCTGCGCGATTCTGCCCAAACTCGAGTCGGTGACCTGCTTGCACAGGGACAGGTCGAGTTGCCTAAGGGTGAGCAAGGGCATGTAAAAAGCGTGCGCCAAACCTATGTCGGTGACACTGTAGTTACCACTCAGGTTGAGCTTCTCAACGTTGGGTACCTGATAGATGAGCTCCCTGAGGGACCTCTTCATGGATAGCACCTGGAACCTCTTGATGCCCCTGCGGCCCAGACTGTTGAAAAGACCTTGTACGGGCTTCCGCAGGTGCAACTTGGCCTCAACACCGCGCCACACAGACTTGTAGTTCGCGGCATCGCGCCACGCTGAGCAAACCTGAGCGGCCCTACCCTTGTCCTTGACGCCGAGGTAGCTGAAGATGAGGGCCAAAATCTCAGGGTAGAGTTGCGAGATGTGCGTGCTCGTCTGCTCAGGTTCAGGTGGCGTCTCGGGCCTCGGGGCAGTCGCCTCGGTCCTCTGCAGGGGCGGACCGCTGAGTTCAAGCAGGGTCTGCCGAGGGTCGACGATCACCGTAGTCCTCGAAGGGTAAGGAGGCACGTGTGGCGTCGGAGGGATGCCATGGTGCAGGGGGGTTACCAAGTAGGGTTGGTACCTGAGCTGGTGTCTCTGGTGGTGGAAGGTTGTGCGGTGCATGAACGGACCGCGCAGGTCGTAGTGATGCTCGTAGGGTAGGCCGGCGAAGTTAGGCAACACTGTCACCACGAGTTGTCCGTCGGTCATCATCTTGGGGGGCAACTATTGTCCAAACCACATTACGACACGGGCTGCGGTGCAACGAGATGCGTGGCCCGTTCTCTCGAACCTCTATCACACTACTGACGGTCGCTGCCGCCGCCGAGCTAGAGCGAGTGCCGCCGCCGCCAGCTTCGCGGCTCTCCCTTCCCCCGGCGGGCCAATCGCGGCCAAGGTTTACCTTGCCTCGCATCACCATTGGCACGCCTCGTTTGACCACGTGGTACCCACGGCCCGTATTGATTGGGAGATGGCCTCTGCAAAAAGCAGGAAAAAACGCGGCGCGCGGTTTTTTAATTTCGAGACACGCGGTGTGGGTGGCTTCGCGCGCAGCAGCCGGTTGCCGGAGCAGATCGCGGTCGGCCCAAAGCTGCTATGCGGGGGGCATTCGAGGAGTTTGGTGACATGACCTAAAATGACTGAAGGTATATTGTGAAAAAACAATAGAATAATTAAAAACGAAAAATAAATAAATAATTAATAACGAAATAGTAAATAACATACTTAAAATGAAATAATAAATAAATAATAATGTGAACATTTTCATTGCTAAAATTTTTGTTTTTAAATTTTAATTGATTTTATGTTTAATACCTAAGCCTGACTTTCTTGCAGAGGTTTTGATGGTGTTTTTCTATATTAGGTGTCACCGAGATAGCTCGTTTTTAAAAGCACAAACAACGAAACACTGTTTTTCAATTATAGAACTGAAATGGAACTCTCTTTAGATGATGACGAGCTATAATTTTCTTTCCCCTCTTTAAGCATCTTTAATATTCCAGCGCTATCAAAATCTTCATTATGATAAAATGACTAGAACACAGATACTTTCGGACTCCTCCTTTCTTGCTTATGGGTTTCAAGTTGAACCCAAATGCTGTTTGATGAACACAATCCATTCATCACGGGTTGAATTTTTGGGCAACCTGCAAAAAAAATGAATTTAATCTTGAGAACCAAATTTAATATGCTAATTGACTCAGCGGCTAAAAAAATGGCATCTTTAAAAAGATTTATGCTTCCAAATTGTTATAAAAAAAGTAATATAAAATTATATTTAAAATGCAAAATTATAAGCAAAGTTCAACTTACAATATAGAACGACACTGCTAGTTTTTGTGCGTTTCTATCGTTTGGCATTGCCTCCATATGGTTCCAAAATCGTTGGTGGCATCCGATCGCGCAAGCGGAGGGCCTTCGGCCTCTCGGAGCAGACACACATTCCACTGGCACTGCCAAATCAAAGGGCTGCGCCTCATCGACGAAATCAGAAAGAATGGAATGGCGCGGGCCTAAAGGGATGCGCATGCAATTTAATGCTCTAATTTTAAGGATTAAACAGTAAAAATCATCATTAATGAAATTCATGTAACAATTAAATTTAACCTAATTTTAAATATAGCATTATTTAAAATAATGTATTTTCAAATCTTACTCTTATCAAATAATTTTTCACTAATTTTATTTATTTACTAATTATTTTCTTCAAACACTTTAACTTGACACACTTCTCCAAAATATCAGGATATTAAATATTTAATAACATTGCTAACATTTTGCTGCATCAAACATATTATTCTGAGAAGCGAAATCAGAGTTTTTTGTTCAATCCAAATGCATATTTCAAGTCCCATTGTTTCTGTATCGAAGATGAGTGCCTCTTGCTATTCTAAGGATTAGAAAAAAATTATCATCAAGCAGTGGAGACTAACAGGCCCATTGTACGCGTCTTTGTTTTTAGAGGCCCATTAGAGAGATAACAAGGCCCGCGCACTACGGAACGAGTGTTATACAACCGTCTCAGCATGCATGCTCGGCGTGTTACATAACAACGGTAGCGAACAAGAATAATGAACCTCTCAGAATACCCTGGCTTATACGTACATGGCGAATATCATCTTTCAATCCAATTATTTCCTCTTTTCCTTGCATCCGCGCCTGAATATGCTGCGAAACACACTGAAAATACATTTACAAATGTGAGTCACAGATGCAAATTTTGGCTTATATAAATTTTTGGAATACCAAATTTTGAAATTATTTTCTTACACTCAAACACTATTTAGCGAGACAATTTATTTTGTATTGTCCCGGAATAAAAATTTCACTTTTTTTGTGAATATTCCAAAATACATCCGTATAATAAATTATTCCAGAATATTTTTATTCACACCACGCCGTGTGTGCGCGTGGTTTAATTATATTTTGTTAATTAATGGGCCGTTCCGCAGGGCACGGATGTTTTGTACTTTTGTGCAGTGCACCACACGTACCCTCTTATTACATTTTGCTCTGTGCGAAATTTTTGCCAGCCACCCCTACATTCGGCATGAACTGCCAGAACAATTGATTGATTGCCTCGTGCATTGGAAATAATCCAACAGCTGAAATTGTCACTTTTATTGAAACTCGAAAATGCATTTTACCTCGCCTGATATTTTCTATTAATTTTTGCTGCTGAAGTAAAATTGAAAAACGTTGAAGTGCCGGATAAATTTAATTCTTCATGTGTTTCAATTTTAATTATTCTTTGTCGAGGGCAATTATGTGGGCGAGAATAATTATGCTCGGCGGCGCCGGCTGGCGAAATTGAATTCGGCTCTTTTGGAAGCGGCGGCGACTCATGTGCGCGCGGCAGGCGAATGTGTCGCATAATGTTGACAGCATTTTGCTCTCTGCTAGATGGATGGATGGTCGGTCAGATGGATGGACGGATAGATGGATGGATGGATGGGGTAGTTCATGATTGAATATCTGCGCGCTGCTCTCATGGCCTAGCACGAGAAAGTAACGCTCGGCGCGCGGGATTTATATACGGCCGTACATATAACATGCACACATATATAAGCTGAGCGCACTTGCAATTACTATTTCTCTCGCTTGCTCTCTCTCTCACTACCCCCTCACTGACGGACCAATCGATAAATGGGTTGGCCAAATGTGCACAATTCGCCCTATTTTAGAGGCAAAATTTATAATTCTTATAACTGCTTCCAATATGCATGGACATTTAATTCTCCTTTTGAAATGCATCTGCTCTAAAATCCTAAGAAAGATTTTATTTCGTTACCTTTTTTCAAGAAAACTTTAAAATATTGCTTACATGATGATGAAAATTTAATTGTTAAAATTTAAACTTTTAATAAAGGATTAATTTGCCCGAGCAGTAAACTTATTTGCTAGTTACATAATTAAGTTTATTTATGTATACGAACAAAGCCAAGCTCTGCCCAAATAGGGATGCATCATACAAATGTTTTCAAAAACAATGGGTAAAATATTTGTGCAAAAGTGAATGCATAAACATTTCTGAAGTATTATAAAAAAAAATATTGGATATTAATACGACATAAATCTTCACCTTTGCATGAAAACCCGCCCTCAATTAAAATTGTTTATTATCACAACAGGAATTTTCTAACTTTTTTACACTGGTTTTTGTCTCAGTATCTCGCGTCTCGGAACGTAATTCCACGTAAAAGGTGTTTAGTCAAAAGTACTAATTTAAACTTTTAGAATATTTCTTAAGAGTTTATATTGCCTTAATTTTTCCTCTTGATCTGCTCTTGATCAAATGTAGCTTTTAAAATTAAAATCTATATCAAAATTTAAAAAATTCTCAAAATTTACAGCACAATATCTTTCTGTTAAATTGAATAAAAATCGTTAAATTAAATAATTTAAAAAAATTTACGTTGTTCGCTTTAAACTTGAATTAATAATTCAGGAATTATTTAAAAATATTTATTTTTATTATTGATTGATCAAACATTTATTTAATCGTTGAAACTGCATATAAAATTCAACTTCTGTATTGCATAATTAGTTAGATTTTTTTATTATTTATAAATTTAACTGCACCTTTCATTAGTGGCTTTGTAATCATTAATATGTGCATATTTTATTTTGACCTGCTTTAATAGAATAATTTTGCCTGGTTCTCGCTTGTAACATTGCCTCACGGCGCACACAGCAATCCACCCCGAAATTCGCAATGGCGTGTTATTTTTAATTACGCTAATGCTAATGAGTGCACCGAGGGTAGATACATACATTAATTTGGCTAAATGTGCATCGTTATTTCGCGTCAGCAGCGACAGCAGAATGAGCATAAAGTAAAAACAGCGCAAAGCATAATGAAAGCGGGCGAGAGAGAGTCGCGATCCTCTGGGGATGCTGTTCGAGAGCGAGCGCATGCAAAATATTTTATTCGCGCGCGAATATTTCAGGGGCGTCGGTGTCATTCAAATGAATTCGGCCCGCCGCTGCTTTTTGTTCGCGTCTCGCGCCCCCCATTGTTTCACTTTTCATGGCAACTCACTCGAAAAGATCACATTTTGGCAGCGATAATCAAAATCACGCACAGAAAAACGCGCAGGATTAAAAAAATACAAATGTGAACAAGCATGGTTTTGTTGCGAAAAATGTAAAATTTTTCATAATACAGCAGCGCAGTGTTTTTTTATATTAAAGCTTTTTTGGTGCGCGTCAAATTAAGTCTTCAAAATTAAAAAAAGCTGCTGCTGGTGCTATATTTTTTGTTTTCCGCAGGAAAGGGAAAAGAAATTTGGGCATTGTACACATTTTAAGCTTCAATTCGCAGATTTTACTTTTGTCTGTTTTTTTTATTCACGTGTGGTAACGCCTCCAGTGACAGTATAAAATAATATCCCAGCAATATTACTTTTTTATATCTAATATTTCATCTAAATCATATGTTTAAAGAAATATAAGTTAAATAAATTTAATTTAAATATTTATTGTAAACGGGATTAAATCTGGTTAATTTTAGATTTTTTACTACTTTTCTTTTTTTAAATTTTATAGCTTTTATAATTTTTTTTAGAAAAATTTGTTTCCTCAATATTAAATTCAACTGTACATTTGATACGTAGATTATTTTATTTTTGTTGCCTCACGACCAGAACTATTGTTGAGTATTATAAAATTAATGTAATTCATATAAAAAAATAGAAACATTTTTTAAATAAGGGCTGTAGTGTATTTTTCACTTTCATACAAGTATTTTATTTATTTAATTTTTAAAAACTATAATTTATGACGTGACGTCTAACAAGTTAATAACTAGACC